TGAGCGGGCCACTGAACGAGGGCAGGGCAGTGAGGAGGCCGCCGGGATTCAAGAGCCTGGGCCCATCCTCCAGCTGGTGCTGGGCCAGGTGGCAGAAGCCACAATTGGATTAGTCCAGTGCTGGGGACTTTACCTGTGGGATGAAACTCAAGGCCAGAGCGGCTGGGACAGAAGCCTGAGGAGGCTTGGCTGGGAAAAGGGATGAGGCTCCCTGGCTCTTCCTGGGCAGGAGAGGCTGGAGCCAAGAGTGGTGATGTGGCACCTTTCCAGAGGCCACCAGCTCCCAGGTGTAGCGTGGACAGGAGGCCAGAGCCCAGGGCACAAGGTCATAGGGCCGAAGGGGTTGGTAGACCCCAGGAGGGGCGCTGGGTCTGGGGGCAGGGGATAGCCAGGCTAAAATCTGAACCCAAAGGACGTGATGGGCTGGGTGCCAGGCCTGGTCCACCTCTGTTCTAGGGTGCTGGCCCAACCCACACGCTCCAGAGCACCAGGGCAGCTCCCTGGAGAGCAGTTCTGTTCTCCGACCACTCTCAGTAGGGGACACAGCTCCAAGGGCATTTATAAACAGATGAGCTTCCCTTCCCCCACCACCCTAAGACTTGCATGAGCTACAAAATAAGGATCTTCCTAAAAATAGCACCACCCAAAAGGCAGGCAAGCTGGCCGAGGCTCCAGCAGTGCCGGGGCCATGGGTGAGCTTGGATGGCAGCCCCTACCCCTATCCAGCCCTGGCCCAGCCCAGCCTCCCCAGGCCCTTCTCAGGACTTTGCTGGGGGAGGCTGTACCCATCCTCCTACAGCCCGTTTAGCAGCCCTGGCCTCATCACGGCCACAAGGGGCCAGGCCTTTGTGCAGGGATTGCTGGGAGCCGAGGTGCCGGGGAGGAGGGGCTGGGCTCTGGGGGAAGCGGCCCCATGGGCACCCCAGTCCTGCAGCCCCTTCAGCTCAAGCCTGTGTCCACCTTTGCCCCTAGGAGATTGTGGACTGGTTCAACGCACTCCGAGCTGCCCGCTTCCACTACCTGCAGGTGGCGTTCCCGGGAGCCAGCGACGCAGATGTGAGTGTCAGCTCCAGGGCGAACGACGGGTGGTAGGGTGCGGGCAGACAGAGCACCGTAAAGTGGCTGCAGCCCACCTGCTTCACTCTGGGAATTTCACCTCAGCCGAAGGGGAAGGAGGGGAGCAAAGGGGTGGTGAGCAGAGGCAGAGCCACAGACCCCATGGAGGTTGTGCCCGGCCTGGGCCCTGCCCTGGTGGTCCGGAGTGAGGGGAGCGGGGAGGGGCTGGGGCCAAGCCTCAGTTCTGAGGCCCCCGACCTGGTGTTCTGCCCCAGCTGGTGCCAAAGCTCTCTAGAAACTACCTGAAGGAAGGCTACATGGAGAAGACCGGGCCCAAGGTACGTGTGCCACCGCCTGGGGTGGGAGTGGGGGTGCCATGGTGGGTCTCAGACTAAAGCTGGGATCTTCGCAGCTGCTGCCCGAGTGTTTTAAACTGGTCAGTGTCAGGTGGGTCCTCACAGCCCCTTGTCTGTGCCCGGCTGGGGTCCCCGAGGACCTGGGCCACTGTCCTGGGCTTTGGTCAGACCATCCCTGCCCACTGAGCCTGACCAGCTCCCTCACCCACAGGACCCGTGTACCCACGTGGCCAGGGACCCACATCTTGCTACTCCCTGAGGCATGATGGCAGAGGGAGACACAAATCTCGGGATCCTCGGTGGTCCTTAAGGGAAGTGCAGGTGTGAGAGGCTCATAACTGAGGCCTGGACCCCCATGTGGGGTCCAGGGAAGGCTGGCGCAGCTGGAGGAGCAAGAGGGAAGTACAGTGTGGAGGCAGGAGGACAGGCATGGCCCGCAGCAAGCACGAGTGGGTGGAGGTGACTGGCCGGGGGCAGCCAGGGCCCTGCCCTCCCGGGTGGGCTACACTGCCTGCAGGGCCTGCCTCAGCAGACCTGCCAATTATGGGCCCTCTGACCCACAGCAAACAGAAGGCTTCCGGAAGCGTTGGTTCACCATGGATGACCGCAGGCTCATGTACTTCAAAGACCCCCTGGTGAGAAACTGGGGCTGCCAAATGCATGACCAGAAGGGTGGGGGTCTTCCCGAGTCCTGGCCTGTAGCCTCCCCTGGCTCAGAGTGAAGCTGGGCCAGAGGGAACATGGCCCAGCCCCAGCTCCAGCTTGGCCCCCACCCACAGGACGCCTTTGCCCGAGGGGAAGTCTTCATTGGCAGCAAGGAGAGTGGCTACACGGTGCTGCGTGGACTCCCGCCGTCCACCCAGGGCCACCACTGGCCGCACGGCATCACCATTGTCACGCCCGACCGCAAGTTTCTGTTTGCCTGTGAGACAGAGTCTGACCAGAGGGAGTGGGTGGCGGCCTTCCAGAAGGCGGTGGACAGGCCCATGCTGCCCCAGGAGTATGCAGGTGAGCAGGACGGGCTGGGAGGGGGTTCCCGAGGCCCACCTGGTTCCCAGCTCCCTGTGGCTGTGACAGCGCGGGACCTTGTTCCATTGCAGTGGAGGCACACTTCAAGCATAAACCCTAGCGACATGGTCGGAGGCCCACGGACACTGGACTCACTGTGGCCGGACAGAGGGGACTCGTGGACGGGGGGGGCGGGGTCCAGCATCCTGAGGCCACCTGGCTCTTACCTGCTCCTCAGGGCAGCCCAGGCATGGCCAGGTAGGGCCCGAGCTACAGCCTCCAGGACGCTACTCTAGAACCTCACGGCAGGCGGCCGGGCCCTGGGCCTGACCTCTGACCCCATCATGCTGCTGCTGACCACACCCAGCCAACCTGCCCCCTCCACCTGCCCTGGGGTCCCCCTTCCTCCAAGACCCACTCTGGCTCCCAAGGTCAGATGAAGCCCCCAGGAGCTGCCCACCATGGCTGAGAGAGCTTCAGGCCTCAGCGCAGAGCCCTGCCAGGGGTGGCACAGTGGGCGGCTGTTGACCGCTGGGGACTGGGCCCTGCTCGCATGCCACCCCACCCCCTCCCCCACCTCCACAAGTATTTATTGAGCGCCTATTGTGTGTCACGGGGCCATGGGAGTTGTTGGGTGGAGGGGGCAGTCTCTGCACAGGTCCCGGGCCCTCCCTGGGCTACAGCCCCGCCACCTCATGGCTCTTGGTCCCAGGGCTGGAGGGGCCACCAGGCTGCCATCCCCTACTCTTGGCCTCTGTGTGCCCAGGACGGTGCTTGCCGACAGTAGGGCTTGAACCATTGAGGACCATGGCCTGGGCCACAGTGAGGCCACCAGAGGCAGGAGTGGCCCTGTGGCCCCCAGCCTCCCCATCCTGGGAGGCCAGGCACTGTCTAGCTTACTGCTGGCAGCCCGGCCGTGTATTTATTTCTCACCTGATCTCCTTCCCATAAAAGCAGGCCAGGCTCTAGGGCTCCCCTTCTGTGGAGTGTGCAGGTGGGGGAGATGTCTGCAGGTCAGCTGGGGGGCCCAGCCCTCTCCTAGCCTTGTCTGGCTGAGCTGTGTTCCAGGGAAGCCCTGGACAAGCCCTCAGAGCCTGGGAGGGGGTTTCTGAGGCCGGGCATCTGCCACCCCGTGTTGCATCCTGGAATAAAGTGTGGCTCTGGCATGGTTCCAGCTGTGTGTTCGAGGACGGAGTGGGGAGGAGGTGGCGCTGGGAACATATGGCCCTGCCCCTGTGGCTTCAGGAGGAACCGTCCGCTCCCAGACACCTGATGGGACCCTCGCTCCCTGTGGCTGAGTCCAGGTTTGCAGGGAGGGAGGATGCAGTGTCTGAGCTGGTGAACGCCATGTTCCTTGTGCAGGGGAGACGGCCCCCACCCAAGGCGCTCCCCAGCACTCCTTCCCCAGCTGCCTCCATCTGAGGGCCCCCCAGGCACTTCCTGGGCAGAGCCCACATCCTGAAAGATAAGCCCAGCTCAGCATGAAGGAGGGTGAGGGGGATGTAGCCCAGGTAGGGGGTCCCCAGTGTCTGCCAGGCCCCCATGCTGGGCCTCTCAGCCCTCACACAGAACATGAGGACCTGGGGTCTGGGGACAGGGTAGAGGTCTCCCAACTCCAGCCTAGGGGTCCCAAAGGCAGTTGTGCTGCTGCTGAGATGTGGGTGAGGTACCCCCACCTGGAGCTGAGACCCCAGGCAAGTCCCTCGCAGCCTCGCCAGGCACCACAGTCCAAACCCGGAGCTGAGGGGCCTGGGTCAGGGCTGCACAGCACGCACCCTCTGGGGGAAACCAGCAGTGACCACGGCCCTCCCTGAAGTGTGGACGCACGCGTGATGTCCACATGTGCGCCGAGGACCGTTACATTTTAAAAACCACAGAACAACTTTCTAACAGGGGGAAGGCATTTTTCAAACCAGGTGGGACACACACAGTCACAGGAGGTGGGTCCAGGCAGGGGCTGCTCGCTGTCCACGCCCACCTCCCTGTCTGGACATAGCTGTAGGAAGGGCATCCCCTGGCTGACAGCATTCATAGCAGGTGCACGGATGCACGGTGACTCCACTGCGACGTCCTGGGGCAGGTAGGGTGGGTGCTGCGGCGCCGGCTAAGCGCAGGCCAGGGGGCCACCTGCAGGTTCCGGCAGCTGTTCCTGCCATCATCTCACAGCAAGCCTGAGTGACATCACACACACAATCCTCAGTCACTCTGAATCAAACTCGCTGCTCAAAGCCAGTGCTACACAGGAGGGATGGGTGTCCCGCCAGTACCCAGGGCAGGGTAGGGGCTCCATGCTGCCGCCTCCCCAGCAGCCCACAGGTCTGCTCTTGCAGACTCTGACACCCAGACTTGGTAGATTTGATTTTCATGAACTTCAATGAAATTACACAACTATACTTACTTCTAAAATCACAGCTGAGTGAACATGAGGCTTCCTGATGGACCTCTGCTCTTGTTCACACACGGGCAGTCTGGCCATAGGGCATGCCTTCTCTGGGGGCTCCCAGGCACAGCCCTGAGCGCAGAGGCCCCCACACCCACGGTGGGTGCCCTGGGTGCCCGAGAAAGGAATGGCATCGCACAGCCCGGTAGAAAGGGTTTATTTATGCGCAACGGTTCACACAAGCCTTCCTTAAATTCCACTTTACAGTAAATAAAGCTGTGCGTTTCCCCTTCCCATGCACAACCGCGTATCAATCTACAACAACTGTCATTGAATCTTGAAAAAATAGAGCGTCTCCCCTTTTGTCATTGTTCTGGCAACATCTGGAAAAGCATCCATGATAGAGACCAGAGCTGCTCACTCCTGGACTGGTTATTTGGTTAAAACCTAAAACGTTAGGTCAAAGGAATCAATCACCCAATACAAATAAATATTGCATTATGAAAGAGATGGGCAGAGTCCCACGGTATCCCTTTTTAAAGCGGCATTTCCAGCACAGCAGCATGGCTCTCACAGAGACCAGCAGGGCGCAGCTCCGGGATGCCACATGGGCCGTCCCACCGCACGTGTCCCTCCACCGAGTGTGAGGATGTGGCGCAGGGCACATGCGCTCCGTCTGTGATGTGGACCAGTTCGCCGTGACTGCAGAGTGACCTGTGTTCAGAAACAGCCACACGCATCTGCAGACCACACAGGGCCCAGCCGGGTTCTCACGTGTGAGGGCCAGCACCTGCTTTGGCGGCCACAGCTGCTCTGGACGCCAAGCAAGGAGCGTGATGTGCCAGGTCCCTGAGGACAGGCCTCCTGTGCTGCCCCTCAGCCCTCCCGAAAGGACCCAGAACAAAGGAGTGGGAGAGGGGACGCCGCATAAGGCCTGTGCTTTATTGTGGGTCAATCTCAGGGGATGCGGCGGCCAGCAGGGGCAAGGCCCCACTCTTGGGTCCCAGCAGCAGAGCAACCGGCAGCCGCGCCACCCGGAGCCGCCGCACAAACAGACGCGCCACAGACAGACACGCGCCGGCACGCGGCCACTGCCAGCCTCAAGGCTAGGAGCCCCCGGGGCCAGGAGCCACCCGGGACTCGCCTCCAAAATGTCCCTCGAGCCGCCGTTGACCATGGTGTCTCCACGTGGCCCGGCCAATTCAGTCCAGCTCGATGGGGCTGCCGTCGCTGGGGCTCTCCTCCCCCTCCTCCTGCTCCGAGGAGCCCATAAGGCTGCTCAGAAGGTTCCCTGGAAGGAAGGACACCATGGCGGTCAGGCCTAGGCAGCCTCCTGCCAGCCCCCAAACCCCTCCTAGCCACAGACGCCTCACCAGGCATCCCAACTGACACGTAAAAGCCTCGCAACGCTACTGTATGTGGCCCATGAACCCGAGGACAGGGAACCGATGACCACAAAGAAATACTCAAACACGGAGCAGCCATGGCGGTATCCACAGAACCACCCTCCACATCCACGGAGCAGCCACGGGAAGGGGGAAAAAGTCCACAGAACCACCTTCCACGTCCACCAATGGGGCTGTGGAGTGGCCATGCGGGCCTACAGAGATGCCCTCCACATCCTCTAACGGGAGCCACGGAGGGCCCTACAGAGCCGCCAACATGACCTCGTGTACTTTTCGACAGAAAAGTGCTGCCGTAGGGCACAAGCGCCACACCCTTACAGCGACCTACTAATAAACTAGATGACCCAAACCTTCAACGGCTGCTCACAGGGGCCAACTGCAGTCACTGTCACCTGATTTTTATCCAGTGGACAACCACTCTGAACATACAAAGCCAGAGTTCAAAAGTCTCCTGAAACCAAACTGCTGGAAACCAGACAAGTCAGACGTTTCTCTGAGCACACAGGCGGACCTGCAAAGCGACCCTACCAGGAAGTGTGAGAAACCTCAGGGATGGGGAGCTCTGGAGCAGAGATGGGGCTGGGAGGCACCAAGCTAGAATTCTCAGCTCTGAAATATAATTTCCTACTCACAAAAGGAAACTGAGAAACATTGAAAAGAGCAAAGAACCACTGCTACATGAAGGACTGCAGAGGACCCCACGCAGAGCCAGGGTTGCAGTGGGCATGGCGAGGGCACCTCGGCTTACCGAGCAGGCCTCCGTAGGAAGATGTCTGCTTGGGCGGGACACCGAAGAACAGCTGTCCTATGCGGTCGAGGTACTGCAAGGCATGGGCAGCAGGCTCAGGAGAGGGTGGACCCAGGCTGTGGGGAACCAGCCAGGGCGGTGCAGCCTTGAGGGCCCCTCCCCATTCCAGCCCCAGCCCTCACCTCGTTGTACATCGGGTCCCGCCGGAGGGATGGCTGGTACTGCTCACATAGCACGGTGAACACCGTCAGCTTTCCGCTGGGACACAAGGACACAGGGAGATGCTGGGGGAGCAGGAAAGGGCCACACGCACCTGCACCCACCTGCACACACTGCCACATCTACACCCAACACTCACCTGCACACACACCTGCAACACCACTGCATCTACACCCACTGAAGATGGCAACACGCTCCTGCACACACACCCCTGCACATGCTACTACACCTACACCCAACACTCACCTGCACACACCCACACAGCTACCCATGCCACGCCTACAACCAACACCCACACAGCAACCCATGCCACCAAGTCTATACCCAAAACACTCATCTGCACACACCCACAGCTACCTACACCAAGTCTACAACCAGCACACCTACACAAACCCACAGCTACCTATGCCGCATCTACAACCAATACACCTACACACACCCACAGCTACCTACACCAAGTCTACAACCAGCACACCTACACACACCCACACAGCTACCTATGCCACATCTACAACCAACACACCTACACACACCCACACAGCTACCTACGCCATGTCTACAACCAACACACCTACACACACCCAGCTACCTACGCCATGTCTACAACCAGCACACCTACACACACCCACAGCTACCTACGCCACGTCTACAACACACCTACACACAGCTACCTACGCCATGTCTACAACCAGCACACCTACACACACCCACACAGCTACCTACGCCACGTCTACAACCAGGACACCTACACACACCCACATAGCTACCTACACGTCTACAAACAGCACACCTACACCCACAGTCACCTACACCATGTCTACAACCAACACACCAACACACATCCACAGCTACCTATGCCACGTCTACAACCAGCACACCTACACACACCGTCACCTATACCATGTCTACAATTAACACACCTACACACCCCCGCAGCTACCTACACCAAGTCTACGAGCACACCTACACACACCCACAGCTACCTACACCACATCTACAACCAGCACACCTATACACACCCACACAGCTACCTATGCCACGTCTACAACCAGCACACCTACACTCAGTCACCTACACCATGTCTACAATCAACACACCTACACACACCCACAGCTACCTCCACCATGTCTACAACCAACACACCTGCACACACCCACAGCTACCTACGCCATGTCCACAACCAACACACCTACACACACCCACAGCTACCTATGCTGCGTCTACAACACACCTACACACACCCACAGCTACCTACGCCATCTACAACCAGCACACCTACACACCCACACAGCTACCTACGCCATGTCTACAACACACCTACACACACCCACACAGCTACCTACGCCATATCTACAAAGCACACCTACACACATGACAGCTACCTACACCAAGTCGACAACCAACACACCTACACACATACTGCTACCAATGCCACGTCTACAACCAACACACCTACACACACCCACACAGCTACCTACGCCACGTCTACAACCAGCACACCTACACACACCCACACAGCCACCTATGCCACGTCGACAACCAGCACACCTACACACACCCACACAGCCACCTACGCCACGTCGACAACCAGCACACCTATACACACCCACAGCTACCTACGCCACATCTACAACCAGCAAGCCTACACTCACACAGCTACCTACGCCACAACTACAGCCAGCATACCTACACACACCCACAGCTACCTACGCCACCTCTACAACCAGCACACCTACACACACCCACAACTACCTACACCACGTCTAAAACCAGCAAACCTACACACACCGAGATACCTACACCGTGTCTACAACCAACACACCTACACGCACCCACACAGCTACCTACGCCATGTCTACAACCAACACACCACACACCCATACACTACCTACACTGCCAAGTCTACAACACACACACCCCCCACACAACTACCCATGCCACGGCTATACCCACCTGCCCCAACACGTCCCCATCTGCACTCACACCACACATCCACATCACATCGACACTCAACACCTATGCACACACACACCTCCAGCTACCCACGCCACCACATCTACACACAACACACACCCCCAGAATACTGAGACGCACCCATCCACAGCTAGCAGCAGGAACCAGATGAAGTTGAGCAGCGGCTCCATGAACGGAGGCCCATCCTCGATGGACGGGTGCTTCTGGGTGTACGTAGTGAAGACCACCGATGCACTACTTTTGTTTTTTAAACAGAGAAACCTGGAAATGAAAACATGCTGGTGGAGGAAAGGCTGGAGGACAGAGTTTCCGCCCGCGCAGGCACCAGCCTCTGACACGCCCTGGTCCTTCCCAAGCTCGCACACCCACGGGTCTCGCAGCCCCAGCATGGAGAGACCCAGTGCTTCATGCATGTCACTCTCATGCGCAGGGGATCCTGGGGAGGCCTGCGATTTACAGGTGAAGAGAATGAAGCTTGGGAAGGTCACGAGGCTCCGGAGCCAGAACCCAGCTTGAGCCCCATCTGAACAATGCACTGAGCGAGCTCTTCTCTCTCCCGCTGCCCACACCCATCAGATGATGGCCCACACCAGAACACTTGGCCACAGCCCAGCCGTTGGCGGGTGCCGCGCAGACCCTGGCTCCCGTTCAAGGAGGGCCTACAGGGAGGGCTCAGTGGCCCCGGGGCAGGGCCACCATCAGCCCAGAGAAGACATCTATGCAGTGCAGAGCCAGTGAGCTCTGGGTTTGACCCAGCTTTTCATTTAAGTCATGGACGTCCTCCTGGGAGAGCTCAGCAGTGGACAGCACTGAGGTCAGAGGGTGTCTGTCCCCAAATCCCACATCAAATCCACAAAGCCAGTCCTACCCCAACGCCCGCCCTGAAACCCACATTTGTTTTGTGGAAACAAATGGAAACAGGCACACCTAAGACTTTCATGAGAAAGGAAGCGAGTGCCCGAGCTCAGCCTGCAGGCCGCCCCAGTGTGCTGGCGGGAGGGCTGCAGGGGAGATGCTCACTGACAATTCTATGAACTGGGTGTGCATTCTCGCAGGTCACAGGCTGAGGCCGGCCGGAGTAGAGCAGAGGCTACAGGGCCTCCCGGCAGCAGGCGAGAGGCACGTCACGGAAAAGGGGGAGATTCCAAAATACTTCCTAAACGTCATAAAATTTATTAAAATTCATGAGTCACTCTGGCTGACACGTGCACTGTGGGTTCTGCCCGGAGTGAACTCAGTTTACCCTGCACCACAACTCGGGCTGGGGACAAGGCAGAAGGGAAGCCAGGACCCGCAGAGCCACCCGACACCTACTGTAGCACAGCCTGGGCCACAAACATGTCCACCTCGCTGCGGAAGCCCCTGGATGTGGAGTACTCCACCAGCATGTTGGCACAGCCCTCCCCGTCCGCTGAGTGCAGAAAATGATACCGCGACTCACAATAGTTTTGTTCTGCAAAGAAAAGACAGAAAAACTCAAATATGCTTCGGGAATATAATACAGCACTGGAGAGGGAAAAAGATGCATCCATGTTAATTCTACCCCACCCGCCCATGAGAAAAGCCCAGGGAGAGCTCGTAGGCAGAGGCGCACCACAGGGACTCAGCCAGCCCACACCCCACACACCACCAAATGACAAACAGAGCCAAGAGTGAGAGCCACGCAGCCACGCAGCACCTTCTTCCTCCAAGCTCCCGGAGCTGCCAAATCCAACTACATGAACGTGTGCATAGTGATGAGCAATGACAGACTGTCGCCGTGTGAACCTTCTCACCCACCAGAGGAGACTTACAGGGAGCAACGTAATCAGAGCCCAGGCCAGTGCACCTAGGATCTACACAAACAGCAAAAAGCAGCCTGATCCTCGCACCACACTGACCCAACGATGAACCCACACCACCCCATACACACTCCACTCCCAGGCCCACCCTAACACCTGCTCACACTCACTCCCCGGCTCCACCCTAACACCCGCTCACACTCATTCCACTCCCAGGCCCACCCTAACACCTGCTCACACTCACTCCCCGGCCCCACCCTAACACCTGCTCACACTCATTCCACTCCCAGGCCCACCCTAACACCTGCTCACACTCACTCCCTGGCTCCACCCTAACACCTGCTCATGCTCATTCCACTCCCAGGCCCACCCTAACACCTGCTCACACTCACTCCACTCCCTGGTCCCACCCTAACACCTGCTCACACTCACTCCACTCCCAGGCCCACCCTAACACCTGCTCACACTCCACTCCCAGGACTGACCCTAACACCTGCTCACACTCACTCCACCCCCAGGCCCGACCCTAATACCTGCTCACACTCTACTCCCCGGCCTCACCCTAACACCTGCTCACACTAATTCCACTCCCAGCCTACCCTAACACCTACTCACACTCATTCCACTTCCTAGGTACAACCTAACACCTGCTCACACTAATTCCACTCCCAGGCCCACCCTAACACCTACTCATACTCCACTCCCAGGCCCACCCTAACACCTGCTCACACTAATTCAACTCCCAGGCCCACCCTAACACCTGCTCACACTCACTCCACTCCCAGGCCCCATCCTAACACCTGCTCACACTCCACTCACAAGCCCCACCCTAACACCTGCTCACACTCACTCCACTCCCAGGCCCGACACTAACACCTGCTCACACTCACTCCCAGGTCCCTCGCCTGCCTTGGGAGCCCCGCCCTTCCTGTGGTGCACATCTCTGCAGCACGCCCCACCCCTTCCACCTAGGGCACCCTTTTCCAACAGCAGCCTCCAGGACCCTCCTGCTGCCTGTGTGGCTGCCAGCATCACCATCACTTTGCTCTCTCTCCTGTTGTCTCCCTGGATCCCCAAGCCTTTAACTGTGGGCATTATTTCTTCCCCGAGAGGGAAGTACTTAGGAAGGTTGTGCTGTCGAGTCCACAGGTCCTGCATGGAGTCTGTGCTCAGGACCGCAGAGGCCGTGAGCGGCCACCTCCGCGTGGACAAGGCCTGGGCTCCCAGGGTGAGGTTTGGCAATGCCCCACAGCACCGTCATGGTGTCGGGGACCTGGGCCTGCATCCACCCCAGTGGGAGGCAGCCAGGGCTCCTCTTCAGGGGGTCTCAGCAGAGGCGCCGTGCACAGCCCTCCCACACGCGCCCTGGACAGCCCCCACCTACTCCAGGGTGGGCAGGGATCCCGGCAGACACATAAGTCCCTCCTTATTGTTGCTTGTGCCTGTCTTAGGAGCTGCCACGCAGGTCTCCTGGGCACTAAGCATGGGTGCCACCCACCCCATCCACCCGCTTACTGCCTGAATCTGCCCACAGGGCCCATGCAAAGGAGTGGTGAGGGCAGCCACACAGTGTTGACACAAGTGTACCTAATTCCTCCCAAAGGCAGGCGACACTCCTGGGCAGGTGTGGGGGTGGCTCTTCCCTCCCCAACCTGGCATCAGGGCCCACACAGAGCAGTGGCTCACCACACAGGACTGAGTAGGGTCGCCTGCAGCCATGTTCCGTGCGGAGGAGTGCTGGCCGGGGCACAGGTGGCACACGGGAGGCTGGCTGTCAGCAGAGGCCAGGGGAGGTAGCAGCAGGTGCACTCCAGGGGCCATGAGGCACCGACCTGCGGCAGCCCCTTCTGGGAAGGAGGTGACCACGGGGAGACCAAGGCGAGGCAGGCACCAGCTCATATCCCCGTGGCTGTCCCTCTGCTTGGCACACAGCCAGATGTGGTTTCGCCAGGCCCCTCTGAGACGAGCCTCCCTGAACGTTGTGGTCTCCTAACTCTACCTGGATCTGCTCGCTTCCCCTTTCTGTAGCGTGGGGGAGAAGGTCGAAAATGCCTGCCAGGTGCCCGAGGGTGATGAGCTTCCTGTTCACCCAGGTGGAACCTGCGTGACCAGGGATGAGGTGGGACGGGCGTGCACTGCAGGGCTGCTGACGTGGGCAGAGCCCACGAGCCCTTATGCCGCTGCCACCATGCCAGATAGAACACAGCCATGTCCAGGAGGAGCTGTTCAAAGCTCAGCGGCCCTGACCTCTAGAGCAAAGGCCCTTAGCCCAGACCTTCAAGTTCCTAGAGCTTCCATCGCGGGGGCTGCCCTGGGTGCCACCTCCCCACCTGCTAAGCCCAGGCACACGCAGACCTCAGCGGGCCTGCCGACAGTGGACGAAAACTGTCTCACGGTGCTGAGGCCACTTGTAACCCTGTTTCCTAGGGAATGCTCTGGGGAGGACGCTTCTAAACCCCTACAAGCACCTCATTCAACTCACTCAATGAGTATTCACCCATAACCACTCTTGCCTCAGAGTCGCAGACGTGGAACTAAGAACACCAGCACTAAGAACAGTGTGCAGACAGCCAGACCCCACAGGAGATGAATCCCCTGAGGCTTCATCAGAAGATGAGATCTGTGCAGCAGCACGCATAGGACCTGTGAGGGTGTGGTTGCCTCCCTGAGGGTCAGAGCGTCCCATGGGAAGGCCTGGAGAGGCCCACGTGACCACAGGGTGAAACCCCGACCACCCTGGTGGGCAACCTCGATGGACTGGAACGCACAGCGCAAATCAACACCATGAGAGCACAGTGGCACCCCTGCCTGCCCTGTCCCCAGGCCTACCTTTCCACAGGGTGAGGGCCAGCAGCTGGTGCAGCCGGGGGTGGCCCAGCTTCCCAGAGCCCCCGCTGGACCACTTCAGGGCTCTGGACACAAAGGCCACGCGCTCAGGAGAGTTGGGGTCCATCAGGCTGAATACTTTAGCCAGATTTTCTGCAAACAGCATAGACCCTCATCAGAAGAATGCATGGCAACTCCGGCTCTCTGGACCACATGCCTTACAGAAGTGGATTTCAGTATGCAACTACTTAACAGGAAGAGGAAGCTGGTGGCATCCCTGAGTGACCTGTGGGCCACCCCACCGACCTGCCCACTGCAGTGCCAGTGCCATGTGCCCCAGAGCACGGTTGAGGAAGGATGGACATCTTGGCATAGGCAGTGCTGGGGAAGGCTCCATGGGGAGCTGGAGCCCAGGAACAGCTGTGGCTGCTCTGGGTACCTGGCTCTGGCCCACAGGCCTCTCCCAGAGCAGCAGGGACCAGGAGTGGGACTCAGACCCAGGCAGCTCACAGAAGGGCATGGCCGACTGTACACTCACCCGACGGGACAGGCCAACAAGCCAAATCCCTGGACAAAATGGTGCCTCACCTTGCCGGCTGGCGGGGAGGCCGCTGTCCGTTGGCACAGTGGAGAGGACAAGACACAAGTCATGCCCTGCCTACAAGTCACAGCAAGTGCTGCTCAGCCTGCAGTATGCTCGGGCCAGGGTCAGCCAGGGGGCCTGGCTCACTGGAACCAGGCAGAAATCGCCTCTGCAGCAGTTAACCCCAGAGCTCACAGAAAAACGCAGCGCAGAGGCCCAGGGAGGGGCGTGTTGGGGCCGCTGTCACAGGGCCCGAGGGTGAAGGCCAGATGCTCACCCAGCAGCTCGTCGGCCACCTCCACTTCTGCCTTCTCCAGGGACTCCAGGACCAGCATGGACAAGTCTGCAGCGCTGTTTTGCTACAAAACAAACACACCAAAATCAAGAACAAAGCTGGGATCTGTTCAGGACAGAAAAGACAAGGCTGGGTTTCCGGCAGAAGCCAGAGTGCAGCCAGGGCTGAGGAGTCTATTCTGAGCACCACATCCCTTGGCAATGCCGCTGAAAAACGGAGAACTCCTGGCCGAGGATCAAATGAAAACGGACAGGGCCGTTTATACCAAAACAATGCCCACTCAGCCCCAACATGCACAAACGCAGCACAGAGTCCCAGCCTGCGAGTGGAGCAGCCGAGGCTGGGGACTCTGGGCCCCTCTGCCACCTGCAGCCCCAGTGGCCAGGGCCCAGGGCAGCCCATCAGGCTTTTCCCACGTCATTCCCACCTCAACACGCCTGCCAGGAGCAGGAAGGGACGCAGGAGGAAGCAAGACCGTGGCCGCGGTCCTGCTCCTGGTCTTTACCTGGCCGTGGCTGAAGAACAGCAGGGCTCCTGAGTACATGAGCTCCCGTGCCTCCGCATGCTTGCTCTGGGACATATACCTGCCACAGAGAGGAGATCATGAGCCACGCCCACACGCCCTCGCCACCGCGAACCCGTGCTCATCTTCAGGTAAGAAGCTAAACACAAGGTGCCCAGGAACGGGCGGTATCATAAAACTGGGTGCTCCCCATACACATAGACACCTTTCACCAAGAAGAAGGCAGTTGCTCCCAAGGCCCAGGCGCTGCATGGAGTTGGCGGCGGGTGGGGGGGGTGGTCTGTCCTGGGCGCCCTGCTGACCATGGCTGCATGGGGAGCCTCTGGACGCTAAGAACCTATCTGTGTCCAAACAGGAATAGGCCAGGAGCCAGAAAGCAGCCTCACCCTGAAGCAGCTCACTGGTATCAGCAGCGGGGACCAGAAAGGCTGCTGGGCAGGGCAGGTGTGCAGGGAAGGAGCAGGGGATGGGCCCGGGGCCACAGGTGGGGGCCCCAGGATGGGGGGCTCCAGGCTAGGGTCCCAATGGGGATAGTACAGGCTGTGACAGGGCCAGTGTCCCTGCCCTCTCCCCCCTGCATGCCGCACCCCTCCTCCCACAGGAGGGAAGGGTCTGGGTGCACTGCTGCAACATGCTCGCCCCGCATCATGTCCTCACTCCCAGAGCACAGTTGGCGAAGAAAGCCAGGCTTCTCGGGCTGCACAGAGACAGGCACAGGGCAGCGAGAGGCGTTGGGGGGGACCAGCGTGCCACAGACAATGAGGAGAGAAGCTGAGATGGCCGTGCTGCTCTGAGCAGCAGAGCCCCTGCCTGCAAGAACAGCAGGCGTGGAGGGCAGGAGGTGGCCTCTGCTGGGACACACCGTACCTCACAAGCCCCAGTGGTGTCGCCCAGGAAGCCTTATTTAACTGGCTATATATTTCTCTTAATCATCACCACCTTATTGTCAAAAAACACATAACCAGTTAATCAGCTCTGTGCCTGCAAGCCAAATGTCCTTGAACAAAGCCACATTTAACAATAAACCGAGTTAAAGGCCAGGCGCAGTGGCTCACGCCTGTAATCCCAGCACTTTGGGGGGCCGAGGCAGGCGGATTGCCTGAGCTCAGCAGTTTGAGACTGGCCTGGGCAACATGGTGAAATCCCAACTGTACTAAAATACAGAAGATTAGCTTGGCGTGGCGGCACATGCCTGTAACCCCAGCTACTCAGGAGGCTGAGGCAGAAGAACTGCTAGAACACAGGAGGTGGAAGTTGCAGTGTGCCGAGATCACACCACTAGACTCCAGCGTGGGCGACAAGAGCGAGACTCTGTCTCAAAACAACAACAAAAAAATCGAGTTAAAGAAAAATATTAAGTAAACAGTAGTGCAGACCAGGCATGGTGGCTCACACCTGTAATCTCAGCACTTAGGGAGGCTGAGGCGGGAGGATCGCTTGAGCCCATGAGTTTGAGACTGGCCTGGGCAACATAGTAAGACCATGTCTCTACAAAAAAAACCCACAAAAATTAGCTGGGCATGGTGGCATGCACCTGTTGTCCCAGCTACTGGGGAGGCTAAGATGGGAGGACTGCTTGAGGCCAGATGGTTGAGGCTGCTGTGAGCTGTGTTTGCAACACTGCACTCCAGCCTGGATGACAGAGCGAGACACCACCTCAAAAAAAAGAAAAACTTGCAGCGCAGGTGATAAAGAAACACAGCTGCGCTGCTGAGGGCTGGAATACGACCTTCGTGTCGCCAGGGTGGGCTGTCTGCTGAGTTAACCACAGGAAAGGGTTCCTCTTCAGAAGGCACCTCAGCCAAGGATCCCAAACACAGCCAGCGCTGCCACACCCAGGCCTCCCCGGCAAGAGACCCCATCGGGCTGCACAGAGGCAGGGCAGCAGGAGGGAAAGGCCTGAACCCCAGAGAGAAAGCCTCCCACCCCCGTCAGCCCACAGGCCACTGCACCGTGAAGGTTCTAGATGGAGACCCACCCTGAGACCATAGCAGTTCAGAGTCGTGACATGGCCGCTAACTCTGTGACTTGCCAGCCCAGTTCCAGTCCTGCAGGGCCGTGACCGACTCGCAGAGGAGGCTGGGAGCCGCCCGCATAGGGCGCTCTGGAAAAACAAGCTCCGCACATACCTGGCCTCATGCTGCCGCTGGCAGGGCCACAGGCAGAGCTGCACGCAGCGACCCTGAGCAAGCACCACACCAGCTTCTGCTTATGCCCATACAACAGCGTTCTAGATGCTTCTATCTGAGGTAGAGCAAGAGGTGGCCTGTTAGAAACCAGATGAAGAACAAATCCCTGGAAGGCAGTGACCCACATTCCTGCACAAGGACCCTGGCTCTGGGGGCACGTTGATGGTCACGGCCTCCGGCCCGGCCTGGACGGCGCCTTGTGGCGGGCTCCCTTCTTCCCAGGGTAGCCATGAGTCAGGCGAGGAAGGACGGACAGAAGGGGGACTCCTGGGCACACAGTGGCCACGGGCCTGGCTGGAGCTGCCCATTTCCAGGTCCAGGAATGCCGATGACAGGCAAACCGTCTAAGGCAGCTCTGAACACGGACAGCTTCCTCCGACACTTGAGAATTCCAGAAGGTGCGAAGGACTCTGGTTTCTGGGTGACTAAGCCGGGATGGGTGCCCTCTCAGGCCTAAGGCTGGGAAGACTGGAGGGCAGCTAGGCATAGCCAGGCCTTCTCCCGCTGTCCTCCCCGCTCGGCTCTGCACGCTGTGCACTGTTGGCCATGCGGTGTGGACACCCAGATGCATCCTCCATAGAGGGAAATGGCTTCCACCTGCTGACAGAGCCTTTGAGAGCCGGTGAGCGTTGGCACTCTCTGCCAGCCAAAGCATCTGTATCCACAGGGCAAGGTGTCTGGGCAAATAATCTGACTTTGCTTTTCTCTTACAAAAACATTAAGAAGTAGAACACAGGAACGTAAGCATCAGAACTAGTGACAGAAACTGTTGGCATCAAATGAAGAAAGACCGAGCTCGTGGGATCAATCCCGCCCTTCGCTCTCACCGGACGGAAGCTGGCTCGTGTGTTCAGCGGTCAGGGGCGCACGGAGGACGAAGATTAAGTACTGAAGACACACAGGTGCCTTGGGACAGGGAGCCAGTACAGATTTCACAAGGAACCCTGGGCCGACCACTGTGAACTGAAGCGCTCCCATGCGCTGGCGAGGGGGCTGGCCTGGCTGGGGCCTCCTTCAGGGAGGACTGAGGCCTGCTCTGCTCTGGCAAGAGTCCCTCTGAGAGGGGACCTGAGTTCGCAAGCATAGCTCCTTCACAAGATGCTCCTCTTTGGCCCTGGGCTAAGGTGTGCACAGCACACACTATACCATTTCCTTTTAAAATCTCTTTAGCTGACTGAAGAGACAGAAGGTCAGGGGCCGAAATTTAAAAATCACTCAAACACATTGCAGGAGGAACCACGTGGCGGGAAGACCCAGACCCACCACGATGAGGGCAGACAACAGGTGGGCGGCTGCTGCAGGTCACTGCCTCCCGGGCTGTGGTCTCAGACACATCAAGTTTCTAAAAGCAAATCTATAAACACTGTAGCCAAGACTGAGGCCCCTCCAGGCCTGGACAGTGGTTCTGAAGCGCACTAATCCAATCGGCCTGGGAGCTGACGCCTCGCCCCAGCAGAGAGAAGTCTGGGGATACCAGGTGATGACCATGACCAGCGCCATCCACGGGACAAGGTCGGCCACTCTCTAGCGTAGCCGAGCAATCAGGAACTGCTGCCCAACTTCTGCAGGACACATACCCTGGGACACCAACCTGCTGGGTTGCCCAATTCCTTCCCTCTCCTTCACCTTAAACTATCCTGTGAGCTAAAACAGTACCTCTTGGGAACACTTATACACCGTTGGTGGGAGTGTAAATTAGTACAACTATCGTGGAAAGCAATGTGGCAATTCTTCAAAGAACCAGAAATGGAACCACCACTCAACTCAGCAGTCCCACTCCTGGCTATCTATCTACTCAGAGGACTCTAAATGGTTCTACCATAAAGACGCACGCACTCAAATGCTCACTGCAGCACCACTCACAACAGCACAGACATGGAATCAATGCGGGGGCCTGTCAGCAGCAGGCGGATACAGAAAAAGTAGTGTATCTACACCGTGGAATACTATGGAGCCAGAAAAAAGGAACAAGAGCACGCCCTCTGCAGGAACCCAGAGGGAGCCGAAGGCCATTATCCTCAGCAAACTAACGCAGAACAGAAACCCTATGCTACGTGTCCTCACTTCTAAGTGGGAGTTAAATGATGAGAACGCAGGGACAGAAAGAGGGCAGCAACACACAATGGGAGGCTCAGAAAAAAATGTTAACAAAACTGCCATGTACCGATGCTTAGTACCGGGTGCTGAACACCAAACCGAGTCACGAGTTTACCTAGGTAACAATGTCAGAATATTTAACAATAAATCAACACAGAGTATCTTCTGATAAATTTACCCGACAGCTGAGGGATAAACGAATAGTGCTAGAGACACACAGGGAAACAGCTCAGCAACACAAGGACCTACAGACACTTCCGGAGGAGGGTCCTGGCCACCGTGGTGAGTGAATTCAAGCATACTGTGATTCCACGTGTGTTAAACTCCAGGAAACGCCACCTCACCTAAGTGCAGCCTGCAGATGTGTGGGTGCCAGGGGGAGGGCGAGGAGGCCCGGTCGCAGGGCAGGCAAGAGCCCTGCAGGGCCGTGGGTATCTTCAATGTCTTGACTGCTCACAGTTCACTCATGTCAGACCTCACTATAAATATTTCAATGTAAATATCCAATTATATGTTTGTTGACAGAAGAGCATTTTTACAAATGGCTGGGTGCTACGCCTCCCACCTGTAATCCCAGCACGTAGGGAGGCCAGTGGCTCATGCTTATAATCCTAGCACTTTGGGAGGCCAAGGCGGGTGGATCACCTGAGGTCAGGAGTTTCAGACCAGCCTGGCCAACACGGTGAAACCTGGTGTCTACAATAAACACAAAAATTGGCCAGGCATGGTGGCGGGTGCCTGTTGTCTCAGCTACTCATGAGGCTGAGGCACGAGAATTGCTTGAACCCAGGAGGTGGCGGAGGCTGCAGTGAGCGGAGATCGTACCACTGCACTCCAGCCTAGGTGACAGAGCAAGACTGTTTCAAAAAACTAAAAGTTTAACTTGGGGAATGTGACTTCTCTGGAAGTGACACACCCATGGAGTGCTCTGAAGCAGTGCTGGGAATCCACATGGAATTCTATGCTGGAAACACAAGGGCGGTGTCTCAGTGGGTGACAGTGAGGTAACAGCTGCCACCGCTGACTATCTTCATTCCTGGCTTGCAAGCCTCCAAGCCAAAGCTTGAGAAGTTCAGTAATGTGTCCTGGGCCCCACAAGAGGTGGCGTGTGGCCCCAATGCCCAGGCTTTCTGCGCTAAGCCACACTGTGCCCCTGCCAGGTTACCCTCATGACATCACACTCGGCCAGCAGGGCCTGCAGTCCAGAAGGCTTAAGGGCGCAGAACTCGCTCATCACCGGTTTCACTGTGAAATACGCCCTTGACCAGGGACTCCTCACTGAGGACCTAAACTGACAATCCAATCCCTCATCACTGTACAAGTGAAGTGGCTTAAAGCAAGGAACACTGGTTAATTTGGGGGAGATCCACTCTTGTTGGTTAATCACTGGACAAGTATTTATATACAAATCCATAGGAACAGCAGGCACCAGAGCGAATCTTGAACAACATCACACAGATCTGTGACAGGCCCTCTACCCACTGGGAAGCTCGCGTTCCACCGTTTAGTACCTACCGACACCTTCACCTCAATCCCTGAAGAACAATCAGGTTTAAGATGCTATCACAACCCGTGCCATTTGGGAGTTGCTGAATGTTCAGTGACAAATTCAACCAGCATTAAAACTGCATCGCTATAAACGTCTCGCATTAAAGACTTGTTTCTGCCAGAGATAAAATTAGTTTCCATCTAAGAAGAAAAGCAAACCTCTTTCTAAACCAATTAAACAGCTCAGCTTTCAAAAAAGAAAAGCATCTACAACATAATA